CAATTTTCAGGACCCCAAGCTCCAAGTTTCAGGTTTCTTCTAAAACACAAATGTTCCTGAAATTTCTCCTAATACATCATGACTAAATGCCTTGGCCTGGGACTCCATGAACATGAGATCGCTTAGCAGCACTAGGTCACACTTCTCAGGCTGCTTCAGAGGACAGGACAGTGTTCTTCCTAGGACTGATGTCTACCTTAACACAAAGCCAAACCCTAACCAGGAAAAGAGTAGATTACTGTGGTCTGGTCTGGGGCAGCTGCTTATTTACAAATGTAGGCCACAGAAATAATGCTAGAGTCTTGCTACTCTGCTTCCTCCTCCTATCATTCACCAAAAAACAAAAAAAGAGAATTTTTATTACCTACAGGTAAAAAAACTTCAAAGGTTCATGATATGCCTAGGAATACAGTACTACGAGGAATAAATGCCTCATATAGGATGCTCTCCCCATCAGTACAGAACAATTTCTAGAAACTTCTAGAAATCCTGAATCTTGGCTCCTGGAAAGACAGGAATAGGTTTTTAATGCAAACTTCTCTAGAAAGCTGTTTCTCTCTTTCTCCACCTCTTTCTTTTTAAAAAAGTCTAAAAGTCTAAGTCTGTTTTTAGATATCTAATTAACTAAAAATAAAAAATTCTATCAGATGTGAATTTCCCCTTTTTACATGGAGAGGATGCTTAGATGGACCAAAGATGGAACTGGTGGGATTCATTCAAATCCAAATCCTAAACTATTAAATAAATAGAAAAGCTGTGTGTTATATTTAGCATTGCAAACTTCACATAAGAGGGAAAAAAGGGTCAGAAAATAATCATCAAGGAAGTGTAAGATGCCGGTGACATCACGTTCAAAATTGCAAATTTATGGAAATACAAAAAAATGTTTTTATATGTTTGTAACTTACAAATCACAATCTGGAGAATTTGTGCAGCAAAATGGGAAGTTTAATAAAAACCAAATGTGAAAAATCTATTATCACAATGTTGGTTAATGATTTTTTTTCTTGGACACATTTTTGTAATGATAAATTGTAATATCATTACATTTGTGAAATGATAAAACATTACCTTAAGAAGAAGAACTCTTAACAAGCCATTTAGTTGGAAAAAGAAGAACCTAAGGCAAAAAGACAGAGATGTTTGGCCTAAGGTCACTGAGCCCCTAAATTACACAACAGGGACTAAATCCCAGTGTCCCAATCCAGAGTTTTGGCCTCTGTCCCTTCCCCACCATGCTGTCATGAATTTTTTCCCTTTATGTAACTGCTGGCTACACACTCTCATTCTGGCTATAAAATGAACAGTTTTCACCTTTTATTGCCTCTTTACATGAAAAAAGGAATGGTCATCACCTCACAATCTGAGCATGTTAAAAAACACACAGACTTGGGGCTGCTAAGGAAATGTGGCACAGCTTGCCTTTGGTGTTCTGTGATAATGGGTTAAAACAGCTAAGATGAACTGTTTTTGAAAAGAAAATGTATGGCATGTGCATAATTTTGAGGCTCTTAATTGGCCCTTGGAAGCAGATGCACTAGAGACCACCCATGGAGATGTATATATTGTTAGAGCTGGCTGTTTTCCTCATTGTTACATGGTTATGCATAATTTTTAATTATGGCTAATCTTTATACAGTAAATAGGTATGTCAACTAGAGTTTTCCATATTTATTCTTCAAACTTCATAAGGTACATCTGCTCCAAAAAATATAAGCCTCTAAATACCATGATTGCTAGGAAACAAAGCATTACCATAAGGAGTCTACCTTTCTTTAAAAAGAAAACATTAATCCTTCAAATGGCATATTTATGCAGATAAGTTCTAAAAAAAGGTTCAGAGACATGATATTAAAAATTAGTCACTACAAAACTTCTGGTAAAAGCAGGTGGGCTCAATAAACAAGCTAGCCTCAGCTCCTTCCCTTAACCACCTTAAAATGATGATAAGTAATTTTAAAACAAGCAAACAACAATAAAGCATAAACTCATAAGAACAACAAGAATGAATGATGAGAGCAGTTAAAAAAAAAAAAAAGCTAGAGAGCCAATCGTCATGTGGCCACTGACTTACCTGACATGAGAATGTAGAATTCTATGGCAATAGTGGTGAAAAACCAAAAGGCAACTGCACATGCACTGAGAACCAACCCCCTCACCCATTACTCAGGCACTGATGGCACCAATGCCTCTGCAGGTGGGGATAACTTCCAATGGGAAGATAGGTTCAAAGATGGCATAAAAGCAGTTAGACACATAGATTTCCTCTTCTGCTTTGTATAAACACTAACTGTTCTTCGATAACCTAGCAGAAGTCTGAAAATCTATTATCTGGAGACAGTAAAACACAGGGTTTGTGGACCTACTGCAGGGCATCAGATACTGGAGAGAGCAAGCTACTGTACTGATGCCAGGAGAATAAGCAAACGCTCTCATTGTAACTGCTAAGACCTCTTCTTTGCCCTGTGTTTCCATTCCCAAAATACTATCACCCCACACTTCTGCTTTCAAGGCAGGACAGCAGAAAAGACTTCTGACATACTGGTCAGATTGTCAGAGAAGACACAAAACATGTAAAGGTATTGAAATTGGTGTTCTATGTCCCCTGCTCAAGCTATCCTTTTCATAAAGACTGCAGTTGATAAATTTGAAATATGTACAAAAAGCTCCTAAAACATAGAAGCCAAAACAAAAGAAAAATGCATCTTTGGGGAAACAAAAAAAAGGCAAAGAGAAAAAATTTCAAAAAGTTATGACTAACATCTCTAGAGAAAAGTTTATGAAAGAAAAGCATGATGCTATTTTTTAAAAAAAGGCATTCAGGGATCAAAAATTAGACAACAGAAATTAATTTAAAATATAGAAGAAATAAAATCCTAACAGAAAGTCTGAAAGATAATTTGAGATCACCTTCCATATATAGAGCAAAAATAAATGGAAAAGTATAAACAAAGAATTAAAAAATTAGGGAATAACATAGGAGGGCCATAATCCACAAAATAGAAAATAGGAACAAAAATCATTAAATAATTCAGAAAAGTCTCCAAAAATTGAAGGACATGAATTTCAAGACTGAACAGGGTCTACTACATTGCCAGTACCGTGGATTACAAGAGACGCACACCAAGATATGTTCTTGTGTAATTTTGGAATACAAATCGTAAAAGCCTCCAGAAAAAATATACAAATAAATAAAAAATGAGCATGGAATCAGACTGCTAGACCCTGAATACCAGAAGAAAATGGAGCCTTCAGTATTTTGAAGGAAAGTGATTTCCAGTCTAGAGTTTTATAACTGGCTGACTGCCAATTAAGCATGAGAGAAGACTAAAGACTCCCATATCTGCAATATCTCAAAAATACCTCTGCTACACACTACTTTTGCTTCAAAACTACTGGAAGACAGATTCTACCAAAATAAAGAATGAAGAAAGAAGGTGAAATGGGGTTGAAAAAAGGGGCTACTCACCAAACAAAAAAGGCAAAGAAAGTCCTCAACATGATAGAGACACATGTCAGAATGTTCCTAGAGTCATCTCTTCAAGGTGAAATTGATAAACTGCTTAACATATTTGAAAAGAGTAAAGGGTATTTATATAATTTGAGAGAATTTAGAGACAATTCAGTGATAAGTATACAGAAAACTAAGCAAATAAAAAATGAGGTGACTATTTCTTCCAGGAAAAGTAAAAAAAAGTAAAGGAAAGAAAAAATGATTATATTATGTTGTTCAGCTACAAATGCATTTTATATAGTCTTAACAATGTAAATATAGAATACAGATTTTAGGTTTATATAGCTTACTGGGAGATAGGGAGATAGAAATCACTTTTCTGGGGAGGGGTGAAGGTGTGTTTATATATGAGAAAAAGGAAAAATTCCAACTTCCAAAGAAGGAAGTTAATTGGTAGCTCCAAAACAACAACAACAAAAAAATCTAGATGCAGCAACATAAGCAATTTTATTTAAAAATATAAAAAGCAGTTACCAAGGGAATGGCTAAAAAGATTTAAAGTGAATGCTTCTGGAAACCTGGAATGGTCTGGGGGTGTTCAGGGTTCCCCTTTTATTTTTTTGCAGCAACTCTCACACAGATTTTTTTCTTCTTTAAACTATTTGAGTGTATAACCTTGACATTCAAAAGCCAAATTAAAATTTTTTAAATTCTACAGACTAACCTCTGAACTTTCAACACTCCTAGAAACTTCTAAATCATTCCTATATCTTTATTGTTAACTTCAACTTGAATTTTCTTAACCAAGTTCATGGAAAGGTACTCACTACCCCATTATGATACAGCTTTTCCTGTTTGTCATTAGTCTATTTTTCTTAAATGGCAAAGTTAACATTATTAATGCTATAACTGATTAAGATCACTGAGCCACTCCTGAAATCTGAGAATATATGCCTAGATCTAGACTATCAGAGCTATTTAGACAATAAAATACACATTGCTGCTTCTTACTAATCATTGAAAGTTCCATAAAAACTAATACATATACCCATAAGCTCCTTATCAAGTAATCATTTGAATACTGTCATAAACAGGCACTAAAGCCAACAAGCCACCTAAGATATTCCCTAAAGTCCAGACAACTTGCATCAACGCTGTTTCAGGGGATTTCTGTCTCAACAATAAACAACGCTCATAGGCAATCAGGCATGGAAATGACTCAGTATTACCATTAAACTCACATTTCCAATAGGTCACCTGTACAATTTCTAGGTCTCCAAATTTTGGCACAGATCATAAAGGCAGCCCTCTACTAAAAACTGATCAAATTAGAAAGAAAACACACAAGCATGAAGGCATTTGCTGTATGAAAAAAATGATCAGAAAAGCTTTGTCACATGACAGTCATTTCAAAGAAGCTTGTCAGAGAGTCCAAAATTTTCAAAAGTGAGATACTACACGTCTCAAGTCTGAAGTGTTTTTTTTTTTCTTACTTGTAAAGATACCATATGGTAAATTATGTTCTCAGGAAAAGAAACAAACTTACCTTTCACAAGCTCGGACAGTCCATGCGGCAATTATCCATAATGAGATACTAAAAACCAAGAGTACAGTTCCTGGGCATATAGTCATTAAAGTCTTCATAACAAAACGCGTATTGAAGTTTATCTTATTAAGTGCTCCAATGCTTCTAGAGGAGGCATCAGTGAAAAGTTTGCTATGTAAAAGCATGACTCTGGCAATCAGATAGAGTCTTAAGAACATTGGTATAGATAAAATAATATCCACATCAGCGGTGGTTGTGGATGGGGCATAGGAGAAGGCAAGCCGGGCCGTCCATGTGAACGTATAATTCCCAGGTATGGGATGAATAGCACACACCAGTATTTCCAAGCAGATGAAGAAAATACGCTCATAAGTCATGGCTATTCTCCAGTCATCTGCTCCATTGTCCACCATGAACAACTGAAAAAATAAAGTAGAAAATCAGCTTCAGTATGGCATGAATGGTCCACAAGTGTTAGTGCAGATTTTAAAAACACATAACAGATGACTTTTAGCAATCATGGCAAGCTAAAGCTTATAACTTTTAAATGCTAGCCAGGTACACTATTTTTAGTAAAGCGTATTGATATTCATTTTGAACAAATTAAATTAAAAACTTGCTACTCAGGAGCTAAAACTGTTTTGAAGTTCACGTTCCTGGACAATCATGTAAATAACATCATTTTAAAACATGGGCTTGGTCCTATCAGTCATGAAAATCCCCTCAGATGAAGTCGAAATGGACTTGCCTTATAACAAGTTGTTTTCCTCTTTCAGTCTGGATTTAAAGCCTTACACAATTCTAACTATATTCTCAGTGAAATCTATTTAGGGTGCCTCTGCAATCAGTTATACCCTATAATGCAACAACACATGAGCATTCTTACAGGAAATCTTATTCTTGGCTTCAGAGAAAATCACAAGAGACCACAGACAAATGTGGCAGAAACATTTCTTCCAGTTTCCCCATGACTACTCTATTTTCTGTCTTTTCTTCTATTCGCCCATAGCCTTCCTTGGATTATTCATTTATTTTCAATCTTTATTTAATAAAGATTCCTTTTTCCTGTTTCTGTCTTTCCTTCACACACCACAATCAATGAAAACAAACAAAATTTTTTAAAAGAAAAAAAAACAGAGAGAAAGTGAAGTAACTAAATAGATATACAGATGAAGAGTGAAAGGGACAGAAAAGAGCATCATCCTCTCTTCCTTGGCATCCTCCAGGTCCTGGCAGTCTAGAGACAACCAGAAGCATTTGAAAATGTGTGGTGGCTTTTCTGACTGCCACAAGGACTTGCAAAGGATCCTAATATTTAGGCCCAGAAGCCAGAGGGCCAATCACGCTGCAATGCTGAGAGTCCCTTGTATTAGGAAGACCTTTGTTTTGAGAAGCTATATATATTCCAAAGATACTGTCATTGCTGTCTTTGGAAATTACTATCAGAGATTGCTACAAGTGACACAAATAAAACAGCACCATTCTTTAAGTCCTCATTTCCATTCTTACCAAAAACGGCATTATCCAGTAGAAAATGACTTTCTACTTTCTCCACCAAACTTGGCCCTGAATGACCTGGTAGTGCGCAAAAATTAAATCTACCTCCTAACAGGGTAAGAATCACCAAAACTCCAAATAGTCAAAAGCTGTTTGGCAAAGTCTCAGCTCAGTTCCAAGAAAGGTATTCTTTACAATGTTTTGGACAACAGTACAAACTCAGGACAAATACCTTCCAAGGTAACTGGTAAAGAAATGTCCATCTGCATATACCACTCTGATACACTGCTTACAAATAGCCTCTTCCTTCTAGGACTGGCCCTCTTTCCACTCTCCCCAACGTACTTGCTCCTCTCACCTCACTTTATTCTCTTTTTTCAGGCCCCTTTTCACTACCCCTCTGCTCACTTCCCTAACTAGGCTGCTTCTCTCTATTGCATCTCATTGCTTCAACCGTAATCCTAATGCCATTATCAGCAGCATCACTCTTTATCTTTAGGTGATCCTGACCAGCTAACTCCCAATCTGGAACCTGATATACAGACTGCTGCAGGTGACTTATGGCCATCACCCACCTGTGCCATCAAGCTCAGCTGAACCCTCAGAGAAACCTTGTGATCATTCCCTCAGCCACCACAGATTGTTCTCCTCCAGGGCCACCTTTGTTCCCCTCTCTCACAACACACACTTTCCCCACAGTATCAGAGGAAATACCCTCTATTTGATACTTTAGCCACAATCTTGCCTACAGCCACACCCTTTCATCCTTATTTCCCTTCTCTTTTGCTTCATGTGTCTAAAGCAACGTTTCACCAAAATCCAGTTCTCCTGCATCAGTAGCCTATAGCCTAGTTCCTGTGCGTCTTTTCTCTCAGCAGTTTACAAAGTCAAACTTCTACTGTTTACTAAAACAGTAAACAGTACTGTTTACCAAACAAAGAGAACCAAGGCTGGCTCCATGCCTACTCTACGTGGTAGAGTTTTTTCACTTCTCCTTCATTCTCAAACAACTTCCAGGTAGATCTTGCTCCCATTAGCCTACCAACACTACTCTTGCTAAGGTCACTAAAGATATCTTCATTACGAAATCTGATTCCCCATCTTAATTTGTATCTTATTTGTCCTGTCATTCCTGCTTCCCTAAAACAGATTTATTTCCCTGGCTTCTGTGACATGTTGCTTTCTCCATCTGCTGCCACTCTTAAGGGTCTCACTGTCTTTCTCCCCATTCTGTGTCCCTACTTGGTATGGTTTGATGTGTCCCCACAATATTAACCATAACACTACTCTATTGGAGCCCATCTCTGACTCATCTCTCACTCTATACTTCCCTGGGTGATCTCATCCTTCACCCTCCATTACCAGATTCCTCCTACCGGAGAGTATCTTCCATTTTCTAATGACCTCTTTTAAATGCAATTCAAGATGAACATCATTCAAAGGCCCACCATGGCCTAATGGATAAAATCTAATCTATACCCATAGCATACAATCCATGCTGCAGTCTGGTTTTGCCTATATCTCCAACCTCATTGCCTGCTATTCTACTTACATTTCCCTATGTTTGGAGAGTCCAGAAAATACCACCCTAGTCATGCTTCTGTGTCTTTGCATATTCTGTCCCATGGCCTGGAAAGCCTCCATCTAGCAAATGTGCATTCCTTCAAGATCAAACTCCACATCACCTCCTCTAGGATATGGTAGATGACCTGTAAAAATCTGGAAACTCCCTCCTTTGTTCCACCATGATCCTCATATGTGCCTCTCACTGATGCTGTCACATAAAGAAAAATAAAGATCTCTTAATAAGATTGCCTCCCCTACTTGTTAGTGAGACTCCATGTCTACCTAGTGGAAGATAAGACATGCTTGATAAACAAACTTCCTTGTTATTTCTTAGTTAACAGTGACTATCCTAATCACTGGCTAGGTCCTAGTATAATTCAATGTGCTTGTGGAAGCCGAGAATACCAAAGCATAATGCTAGTAAATGTATGACACATTCACCTAAATAGTAAGTCATTTCAGCAGCATAATTTTGCAGTTCCATGGAGTCCAGATAACTTTCCTCTTTGGTAACTTCCTCAGAAAAATGTTCTATTACATAGTTGTTTTTTTTACTATCAAAGGTCTTAACATTTCAAACGATTTAATTTTGTCTTATTTTATCATAGCATATATTTTAAGGCTGTAATTGAGGAAAAATATTTACTTATATTCTCTACGTAATCCTGACCTTCAATGTTGCTTGTTTATTCATTTATTTATCCAGTGTACTGAATACTATGTGCCAGGTATTGGTCTACATACCAGCCATACAGCAGCATTTACAACAAACAGAGAGGCTGCCCATTGAAACTAACTTTTGCTAGGAAAAAGGAAAAAAAAAAACATAGTCAAGAAAGCAGACTTAGAGCAATTGAATAAAGTAATTATGCTTTTGGACATTGTTATGAAGGAAAGAAAAAAGAGATGAAATAGAGAATAATATGTTAGAGATGACAGTAGATGTGGTCTTCAGGGAAAATCTCTAGATAAGTACCATTTGATGCAGGATCTGGATTAAGAGAAAAGCCAGACATGTAAACAACCAGGGGAATAATGTTCTAGGCACAGGAAACAGCATATTTAAAGGCCCTGGGCTTTATAAAAGCTTAGCATGCATAAAGAAATGAAGGAACATCAGAGTGCCTGAAACTTAATAATCAAGGGGCAGTGTGAAAGGAGATGAGACTGGAAATAAGTTTGAAGAGACTAACTGGGACCAGACAAGCAGGCCTTTGTTGACCATCATATGCAGACCGGATTTCAATCTTAGCCCTGCAGGAACCCACTGAAGGATATTAGGCAGAGGAATGATGTGATCTGATTTATAGCTTAAAGGGCTCATCTGTACTGCTCTGGGGAAAACAGTGTGAAGAAAGGCAAGTGTGGAAGGAAGGAAAAAAGTTAGGAAGCTCTACTGCATTTGATTGGCTGTTGTACCTCATGACCTAAACAGGGGGACTGTCATGGAAATGGAGACAGTGAATGCACTGGACATAAAGTTTGGAGATCATACAATATACCAAACTCTTTAGATCACAGCTAAAACAGTGTTAAGAGAAAAGTTGATAGCACTAAATGGCTATGTTAAAAAGTTAGATATCAAATTTAAAACCTAACATCACACCTAGGGAAACTAGAGAAACAAAAGCAAACCAACCCCAAAGCTAAGAGAAGACATAAAATCACCAAAGCAGAGCCAACTGAAGGAAACTGAGAAGCAAAAAACCATACAAAAGATCAACAAGACAAGGAGTTGGCTATTTGCAAGAATAGAAAAGAGAAACCACTAGTTAGACTAATAAAGAAAACAGAAAAGACCCAAATAAACACAATCAGAAATGATAAAGGGGACATTACCACCAACCCCACAGATATACAAAAGCAAACAAAACCACAAAGGCTACTGTGTACACCTCTATGCACACAAGCTAGAAAACTTAGAAGAAATAGAAAAATTCCTGAAAACATACAATCTCCCAAGATTGAACCAGGAAGAAATGAAATCCCAGAACAGACCAATAACAAGCTCCAAAAATGAATCAGTAATACAAAGCCTATCAACCAAAAAAAGCACAGGACCAGAGGAATTCAAAGCCAAAATCTATCAGATATATTTAATATAAGTAAGGGCTGATACCATTCCTACAGAAACTATTCCAAAAAACTGAGAAGGAGGGACTTCTCCCTATCTCATTCTAAGAGGCTACCATCAACCTGCTACCAAAACCTGGCAGAGACACAACAAAAAAATAAAACTTCACATCAATACTCTTGATGAACATGAATGCAAAAATTCTCAATAAATACTAGCAACCAGAATCCAGTGACACATCAAAAAGCTAATCCAACACAATCAAGTATGCTTTATCTCTGGATGCAAGGCTGGTTCAATATATGTAAATCATTAAACGTGATTCATCACATAAACAGAGGGAAAAACAAAAATCACATGATTCTCTCAATAGACGCACAAAGGTCTATGGTCACCACCCTGAACACACCCAATCTCATTAATACATGCAGAAAATACTTTCTGTAAAGCTCAACAGATATTCATGTTAAAAACTCTCAACAAACTAGGCACTGAAGGAACATACTTCAAAGTAATAAGAGCAATCTACGACAAACCCACAGCCAACATCATGAGGAATAGGCTAAAGTTGGCAGCATTTCTCTAGAAAACTGGCACAAAACAAGGATGTCCACTTTTACCACTCCTATTCAACATAGTACTGGAAGTCTTAGCCAGAGCAACCATGTAAGAGAAAGAAATAAAAGGGATCCCAATAGGAAGAAAGGAAGTCAAACTATCCCTGTTTGCAGATGATATGATTTTATACTTAGAAAACTCCATAGTCTCTGCCTAAAAGCTCATTGATTCAATAAACAACTTTAGCAAAGTTTCAAGAAACAAAATCACTCTATAAAAATCAGTAGCATTCCTATACACCAACAGCATTTAAGTTGATAGGCAAATCAAAAACACAATCCTATTCATAATAACCACAAAAAGAATAAAATACCTGGAAATACAGATAAACAAGAAGGTGAAAGATCTTTATGATGAAAATTACAAAACACTGCCCAAAGAAGTTAGAGATGACATAAACAAATGGTAAAGCATTCCATGCTCATGGATAAGAAGAATCAGTATTGTTAAAATAGCCATTCTGCCCAAAGAAATTTGCAGAATCAGTGCTATTTCTATCAAATTGTTAATGACATTATTCACAGAATCAGAAAAAACTATCCCAAAGTTCATATAGAACCAAAAAAAGCCTGAGTAGCCAAAGCAATCCTAAGCAAAAAGAACAATGCTGGAGTATCACATTACTCAACTTCAAACTATATTACAAGGCTACAGTCACCAAAACAGCATGGCACTGGTACAAAAACAGACACACAGTTCAATGGAGCAGACTATAGAGCTCAGAAATAATGCCACATTTGATCCATGGTGCTGAGAAAAGTGGCTAGCCACAAGTAGAAGACTGAAACTGGATCCCTTCTTTATATGATGTACAAAAATCAACTCTAGATGGGTTATACACTTAAATGTAAAACCACAAACAATAAAAGCCTGTACGATCACCTAGAAAATGTCGTTCTGGATATAGAACCTGGAAAAGATTTCATGATGAAGACACCAAAAGCAATTACAATGAAAATATAAATTGACAAATGGGACCTAATTAAACTAAAGAGCTTCTGTAAAGCAAAGGAAACTATGAACAGAGCAAACAGACAACGTATAGGATGGAAGAAAATATTTCCAAACTATGCCTCTGACAAAGATCTAATATCCAGCATCTATAAGAAACTTAAACAAATTTACAAGAAACAAAAGCCCCGTTAAAAAGTATGCAAAGGACACAAACAGACTCTATTCAAAAATTAGACATATATGCAGCCAACAAGCACATGAAAAATGCTCATCAGTAATCATCAGAGAAAGGCAAATCAAAACCACAATGAGATACTACCTCATACCAGTGGATGGCTATTATTACAAAATTTAAAAATAACAGATGTGGCCAGGCATGCTGGCTCATGCCTGTAATCCCAGCACTTTGAGAGGCCGAGGCGGGAGATCATTTGATGTCAGGAGTTGGAGACCAGCCTGGCCAACATGGTGGAACACCATCTCTATTCAAAATACAAAAATTAGCCAGGTGTGGTGGTGGGTGCCTGTAATCCCAGCTACTCAGGATGCTGAGGCAAGAGAATCACTTGAATTCAGCAAGCAGATGTTACAGTGAGCCGAGATCACAGCATTGCACTCCAGCCCGGGCAACAAGAGCAAAACTCCATCTCAAAAAAATTGAAAAATAACAGATGCTGGTGAGGTTGCAAAGAAAAAGAATACTTACATACACACTTCTGGCAGGAATGTAAATTAGTTTAGCCATAAAGAGAATTACCAGTAGACTCTACAATCCCATTATTGAGTATATACTCAAAAGAATATAAATCATTCCACCATAAAGACACATACACACATATGTTCACTGCAGCAGTATTCACAATAGCAAAGACATGAAATCAACCTAAATGCCCTTCATTGGTAGAGTAAATAAAGAAAACATGGCATGTATACACTATGGAATACTGCACAGCCATAAAAAGAATGATATTATGTCATTTGCAGCAGCATGGATGGGGCTGGAGGCCATTAACCTAAATGAATCAATGCAGGAATAGAAAATCAGATACCAGCCAGGCACGGTGCCTCACACCTGTCATCCCAGCACTCTGGGAGGCTGAGGCAGGTGGATCACCTGAGGTCAGAAGTTCGAGACCAGCCTGGCCAACATGGCAAAATCCAGTCTCTACTAAAAATACAAAAATTAGCTGTGCATGCTGGCATGCGCCTGTAATCCCAGCTATCCAGGAGGTGAGGCTGGAGAATCGCTGGAACCTGGGAGGCAGAGGCTGCAGTGAACCAAGATCGTGCCACTGCACTCCAGCCTCAGTGACAGAGCAAGACTCTGTCTCAAAAAAGAAAAAAAAAATCAAATACCACATATTCTTATAAGTGGGAGCAAAACACTGAGTACACAAGGACACAAGGAAGGAAATAATAGACACCACAGCCCACTTGGGTATAGAGGGTGGGAGGAAGGTGAGGATCAAAAGACTACCTATTGGGTACTGTGCTTTACTACCTACATGATGTAACAAAAGGTACCCCAAACCCCCAACACACAATTTATCTATATAACACACCTGTGTATGTACCCTTGAACCTAAAATACAAGTTTAAAAAAATCCATTTACTAGAGGCACTCATAAAGTTTTCAATTCTTCCGTAAAGAAAAATGCTGTATGGCATAGAAAAACACCTATGTAATGTTTCCAGTTTTTCCCTCTTGGTTTTCCTCTTCTCCCTTATGAAAGCAAAAAGCCCTTTCTCCTGATTCACCAAATAATAAAATACTGAATACCATCTAAACATCAACAACAAACAAAGTAGAAATCTTGTCAGAACTTGCTGATGGGCTGAATGTGGGAGCAATAAAAGAAAGAGAAGACTCATACATGGCTATTGAATTTCTAACCCAAAAAACACAGCGGATTGTGGTGCCATTTCCTGGGTACAATGGGCCCGGGGCCAGAGGGAGGAAAAGAATGTAAGAAATAAAAGGTTTTATTTTGGCCGCTCGCATCTGAGAATGTACACCAAGCTAGGAGAATGTTGTGCAGTCGCTCAGAAGAGAAGTCTGGACTATTGAAATAAATTTCAGAAGAGTGTTATGTAGGTTGTTTAATGAGATCAAAGGAAAAATTAGAGACACTGAAGAGAACAAAACAGTACTCAAGGCCAAGCCCTGAAGAAGCCCACATGTGGAGGGCATTTGGAAGCTCAGGACATAAGAGGATCAGAAAAGCAGCAGGGAGTGAAGCAGGAAGGAAAAAACTGTCCTAGGAGACAAGGGTAAGTGCTGTCAATTAAAAACTGTACAATGGTATTTACCAGGTTGAGAGATGCATTAATGCACTCAGTTCTATTAAAAAAATGAAAATATTCTCAAAATCACAGGCATTTAACAACTCATTCAATGTCAAGTATGAAAATCTAACTGTAGAAATATTCTCTTTACATTCCATATAATCTTTAGGATATATATGATCTGTTTAAAGCTCACCTGCAGGGGAGTTAAAGTAATGAGAAGAACTAATATTATTTAGTTCTTTCATACTCATTTTCAATCCTGATGTTGTTAAGAGAAGAAAGCTTTTAGGGCAAAAGAACAGTGTAATCTACCTTTATTCTAAAGTGATGGTTAGTAGTCTTGGCCAGAGTTCTAAAGTAACTTGCAGGCATAGCACCGAAAATGCCCTCAGAATATGTCCCACCACAAGCTTGAACTTTCCAGTGCGACTGTTTTGTATTTGGTCAGATAACCAAATGTAACATACTTCAAGCTCATCGTCACAGATTAGTTAGCAGTGACAGCCATCAGTGAAGAGGGGCTGGAGTTTAACAGGAGAGGCCTGCCCACTATGAGGTAACCTGTGTGCACCAGAAGAAGCTCAGCTCCAGAACCCCTCTCCTATCTACCTTCTGCATGTGTTTTTCCCCTGCAATGTAACTGCAAGCTCTTGCAGTTAGGGAAAAAATAATTTTAGTCATTTTATTTGTTAGGAAAGTACACACTGAGAAAAAATAATTTTAGTCATTTTATTTGTTAGGAAAGTAAGTATAGGTAGAATAGGAAACTTCTGAAAAGGAAAAGTAACAAGGGAGAAGCAGCCACATAAATTTTAAAACAAATTAGTAATTAAAACCAGGTGGTACTGGCACTTAATATAAATGAAAGTCCGATGAAACAGAACAGAAAGTCTAAAATAGACCCAATAGACTGGGAATTTCATAATAATACAAAGGTAGACTCCCAATCAGTGGAGAAAATATAGCTCATGTAAAAATGATTTGGAGACAACTAAGGACCACCTAGAGAAATGCAGGCACGGGTAAGCCGGTGCCTCATATCCATACCAAAAACATTCTGTGTTTGAAAGATCTGGATATGAAAGTGAAAATAATAATATATTAAAAGAAATTAGCTAAGAATTATGCTGTAACCTTGGAGAAAGGAAGGCCTTTTTGACATAAACTCCAGAGTTTTAAGAGAAAACACTGCTATATTTGACTGCATTAAAATTTTGTTTTCTGCAACTAACCAAAACTACAATAGAGTAAAAAGGCAAACACCAGACCATGGGAAAAAATGTTCACCACTCCTATCACAAAGGCCTAATCTCCCTAACACATAAAAGTTCCTAAACATTAAGAAAGAGACAAGCAGCACAGTAGAAAAATGAACACAGGATATAAGACTTAGGTCATGAAAAACGAAATAAAAATGGCTCTTAAACTAGAAACAGATGCCCAATCTCAATCAGAAGAAGAAAATGAGATACCATTTTCTGACTTGTTAGATTGAATAGGTGGTAAAAGTTTTATAACATGTTATACCGCTGACTGTGTGAGGAAACAGTACTCGCATATATCACAGGCAGATGTGTCAACTGGTACAATCTGAGGATAGCAATTTATCAGGTTACAGGCGTATATTCTTTTTGATAATGTAATTCAATTTCCTTAGAATACAATCTGGCATATCAATATATTTGTAAGAGTGAAAAACAGTGAATGTACGTGACTGTTTGTTACAACTGCTTGTATATTATTAAAAGACTGGAAATAATATGCATAATCTAGCAGGGAAATGGGTTAAATGAATTATGAATGGCCACAAAATGAATAGTAGTATGCCATTAAAAAAAGATGAAGAAACATGTTATATACTATTAAAAAGAGACATCAAGTAAGTACTGAGCTTTTGTTGTTTTTTTAAGCAAAGTATATGCTATTATCTGTGCAGATCTGTTAAAGGGGGAAAAGTATATTTGTATTTGTATGTGCATAAAATATCTTTCTGAAAAAATACCTCAGAAATTAATAAGTCACTTAGGGAAGGTGAACTGAGCAGCTGAGCACTAGAAATGGATGGGAGACTTTTAATTATATAATATTTAGTGTTTTTTTTACTTTGGAGACATGTGACTATATGAATATAAGTTAGTTAATAATAAAAACAGTTTTTAGGGTTAAAAGAGGAGCGAAGAATGAGAATAAATGAGGTTGTCAGACATTCAAATAAATCCGAACAGTCTAAATTTACAAAACTTCAAAACTAGAAAGTAATCACTGATGTTCTGAATGACAGTGTACACAGCCAAACACAGTGAATCTAATTTACATCTAAAATATTCTGCTTACTAAGACAAAACCTTGTGCCATTATATTACATAACTGTTTTCAAAAGCATGAACAAAAATAAACAAGATTTCTTGGCTAACCTTTAAACCAAATATTCAATAAAACCAAGCTCTCTTTTCTTTCATTCACTTACTGAATGACTCTACTGGTAAGGTTTTGTGGATACAAGGATTAAAAAGCCTCTCAGTGTTTGATGCTGAAGAGCAATATACATGAAGGATTTATATTTAAATTTAATTTATATGTTTCCTTGTGGAAGTACTATAACAGAGAAGAAAAGAAAATGCTGAGGAAATACAGAGGAGGCTTCATCATGGAACAGTACATGGTCCATTTCCTACCAGAATCTTCACATAACCCATGACAATTAACTTCCAATTTCAGTTTTAGGATATTTTTGGGATCATGGCCCTAAACAAAAATGCACAGAAATTTATTCATTCAAAAACAACAACAAAAAAGCTTCCTTCCTTAGAAACTAACACTTGGATGTAACAAAGGGTGGCAGGGGAACCACCGCTACAGAAGAAAGTCAAATAATGAGGTTTTCTGTATTAAGATGTTGCTCGGATTCAGTCAACAAAGAAGTGAGACTACAGTTGCCAGTCACAGACTAGGTCAAAAGACAAACAGAAAGGAAGAGATGACTATTCCATGGTCTCATTGAGATTTCCTCCAAGGTCCTCAGCCGAAAACTGCAGGAGGGGAAAAAAAAGCAGAAGAACTTTGTTCAGAATTCACCAATCCTGAGCAAAACTCAGAGGAAATGAGCAAAGCTGATGCTTGTCATCCCCTCATCATCCATCCTGGAGCCTTCCTCTCTTTTGAAGCCTCATGCTCAGCCCTGTTCACTTTCATCACCCCGAAACTTCTCTGCATACAAGGAGTAGGAATGTGAAACTAATGTATTAATCACTGAACTGCCAACTCCTATCTGGGAGAAAAGTATGAAGAAAAAACTTGCTGGAATGCAGGAAGAAAAGTATGAAGAAAAAACTTGCTGGAATGCAGGAAACTAAGGCTTAGATGCTGGGTATGTTTCTAACTTGTGATATGACCTTGGGAAGTCATCCACACTTTGTTGACCTTATTTCTGCCATCTGTGAAAATGGAGATGTTATCTGCTGTTTCAGAAAGTAGTTTTAATAATGAAATAAACACATACCATATGTTGTAGGCAATGCTAAGAAGTGGCTAACCCAATAATATTCCCATCCTTCTCTCTTGCCTATCTCCACTACAGAAATATCCATTTCCCCAGACTCCTTTGCAGTTATGTTTAGCCATATGATGCAGTTCCAACCTGAAGTTATAAGCAAAAGGTTGCTCCAGAACGTAGTAGAATATCTTTATGTTTCTGGATTAAAAAAAGACAGCTACAGCTGACATAGACCTCTTCCTTCTCTTCCTCCAGCCCTAAACAGAGGTGACACTTGGATCTGCAGCAGACATCCTGTGATGGTGGAAAAAAAGACCAAAAGAGTCACAGTAATTCCAGCCCTGATATCTTAAGCCACTGAACCAGCAGCCACCTACCCCATCTGTTAAAGTCACCATCAGGTGGATTTTCTGTTACTTGAGCAGTGGAAAGTATGCCTGCATTTAATTTAATATTCATTAAAGTGTTGTGTAAAGATGTATAAGAGAAAAATAATATTTTTAACTTAAACACTTTATGGAAAGAGCAGCCAACAATGCAGAAGAAATGCAGCTCAAACATTGGAATTTAAAGTACAATAACTATTGAGCAGTAGAGTTATTTCTGGGGTGGGTGGCTTTTGTTCATGCCTTTTAAATATCAACCAACTGCTCTGAATATCTGGTAGTGTGACTCATAGGAAACACACACACACATTTTGAAGCCAGAGAAGCTTGGATTTCATTTCTGGCTTGACCACTTACTAGCTGAGTGGTTTGGGGCAATATATTTAATCTCTCTAAACTTCAGCTGCTTCAGCTACAAAAAAAAATAAAAATAAAATCAACCTTACACAATTAGTATGCATTAACACCCAACCTGCTGTCCCTTGTAAAAGTGACCAAATGAATAAGTAATAGTATTCCATGGACCTTCAAAGAGGTACAAGTACATGAATTAAATAACAACTTGTGATATAAAGACAGGAAAATTAGCCATGAAGAGGATTAAGAAAAATGGGTAAGGAAAGACAGATAAGAGCAACATCAGTATTGGGAAAAACTCTAGAAATTCCAGCTGTAACTATTTTTGAAAGAAGTATTCTTGTCATTTGCTAAAATAATGAGTTTCTGAAATTGTCTTCTCCTGACTTAGGCAAGTGCTTCACCTTCAGGTCAAAAATCCTAGAATTATCCACTAGGATGCAGTGATAGTTATGGTTATGTATAAAAAATCCATGTTCCGCTGCTCTTAAGACTTAATTATTTAATCTTAACCTCCTTTCACATGGTTCTCACCACCAGAGCCCCACACCTTCTGTGGTCCCACAAAAGGCACTGCACACATGTTGACATATTGTCATGCAATTATATTTGCATTCACATTACTATGGAATTTATGTAAATTTCCTCTAGAAATTACTTTTGAACTTCTCTGTTAAGATAAAATAATCATTTTCCTCTTTTTGATTCTCTCAACAGAATTGATATCACAGAAAGTACGGTGGTGTATGGATTATGTGTCTGTACTCTGGAACTGAGTCAAGCAGACCTAGAGTTGATTTTGACATGCCACAATTGAAGAGCTCTGTAACTTCAGAAGAGAGGCCTGGTCATATGACTAAAAGATAGTGCTCAACAAATGTTACTTTCTTTCATAACAGTTCACTTCAGTACTGTGTCAAAATCTGGTCTCCAATAAATGTAACCTTAACTAACTACAGATAGAATGAGGAGGGATTAATACAAAGACCAACATCACTGATTGTAGCTACTGGAAAGGATGAAAATCAAGGTTAGACGAATGAGAAATTCAAATTTTTTCCATGGTCAGATTTTTACTTATTTTAATAGTTTATAAATGTTGGTAAGTATCCTTAAATCATTTCTGCAAGTAGATGGGGGATCAATCATAAATAAAATAAGCCTGGTAAGGCCTCAAACCACGAAATAATTAAATATAAGCCAACGTGTTAGATTCTTAAAATTTAATCTGAAATGATAAAAACTCTACATTTTCATTTGAAGCATTATATTAATATTGCTACATTGCTAAAATGTATTAGCACCATCTTAGCTATTTTAAGCACTTAAAAAGCTGGTTAAAAGCTAGGTCACAATTATTATCTCATTTGCCCTTATAAGAGTTCAATTAAAGCACAGGCAATTGAAAGAATTTGGTCATGGTCACAGTGTGAGTTACTGAAAAACCTGAAGCTAAAGTTCAGGTCTTCAGCATTCACATATTTTGATGGGGGCATCAGGCTGTACTGAAAAGTTGGAAGCAAATCAGTATTTATAAAGCAAAAAAATGCTTACCCACTAATTTACATTATGATTTCTCCAATGTGACATTTTCATCCCTGGTCTTAGATGACCTCCTGCTTTCCGGCAGAAACAAATATTTAAATAAACTTGCACATTACATTCAATGCCCGTGACAACAGAAATAGACTACGTCCTAGTTTAGTCTTTTTCCCAGTTAGATATTTTTCATTCTGAAAACTTTTTTAACTTCAGTTGTATAGAACCTCACAGTCCACATGGTATTTGAGATGAAACTTGAAAGCTGTTTTAACATATGCTTAGCTCACCACATGTTAATAGGACCAGGTACTGTTCTAATCCGTTGTGCGTATTAATTCATATAAAACACAAAGCAATTCAAGAAGGTGTATACTATAATTATCTCCATCTCGGAGAAGAGAAACCTGAAGCTCAGAGGTTAAGGAACTTGCTAGGGTTACATGGTACAGGGCTAGCATAGGAACCCAAGCAATCTGGCTTCAGAGTCTGTGTCCATCATAAGCATACTGCAACTTGTCACATACTTAGCTAGTATAAAATCTTTTTACAAAGACCAGGGAGACAGTGCTAATGACAACATCAAATGAAGCCATATATTCTTGACCAGTTTGGTTATCTAGGGCCCTTGCTTTCAGCAAAGGAGAAACAAACACATATTTTGGGGGGAAAAAACAGCTTATTAAAAGAAAACAATTATTACATTTAGCAAATCAGGCATAGCAGCAAGTAGTGACAGAGAGGAAAGACACACACACTCACACATGCACACACACACACACACACACACCACTAAAAAGCAGATACAAGGCCTTAAAAAATCCAACAGTCAGTCTTAACTCATCTAGTGAAAGATAAAACATTCTTACATACCTCAACTACCAGAGAACATCACTGTGTCACAGCACAATGCGAAGTCTCATATTGCAAATAACAGTGTTGACATCAACAAAGACTCTATGGGACTTAACTGATCCTCTTTTTGAATGCAGGGATATGTAAAATTATTACTTAAATTATGTCTAAATTTTAGAAATATTCCTATCCAGACTGTTAAAATAAAAATATTGATATAGAATAAGTCACCGTAAACTTCAAAGTACTGAAACAAAATGATGGTCAGCCTTGAAGTCTCTACAGAGTTAACTATCTCTCAGGGGGAAAAGGTGAAAGACATTTTGAGACACAAAAAGATTGAGAACAGAAGTGACTGTTAAGGAGTACTCTGCATGCAGCAAGAAGTAAACAGAAATCAGGAAAAAAGAAGCTAAAGACACAAGTAACCATGTTAGTAAGTCTAAATACGAACTGACTGTATAAAATTATAATTATCAACATAACCACCATAATTAATTTGGAGGAAGTCAAAAATCAAGGGTGAATAAAATGCTGGACCTCAATAGCATGATGGAAGGAGGAAAGGAGATCAGAATGAAGCCCTCCAAGGGCTGTTACATTGTACAGAAGAAGAACAGAAATTCTGATGAACCTTAAACATTGTTAAATATATATATATATTTGCTAAAAATTTAAGAGTAACCACTAAAAGAGGGAATATAAATTGCATAACATCTAAACTGCCAGAGAAAGAAATGAATGTTTAAATATTTTACATCACCCAAAATAAGGAAAGAAAGGAGAAAGATAGAAGCAGTGAAAACATTACGAACTCAAAATAATGTCAGAAATAGGTACAAAAATAACAGTTGCCATAAAAATGTAAATGAGCTAAACTATACATCCAAAATATAATGTTGAGTGGAAAAAAGCAAGTTGTAAAATAATAGGTACAGCATAGCATCTATGAAATTGAAAGAATGTAAATACTATATTGTTTATAAAATGATTCTATTTAGTGAACACATTAAGAGCATGGACTGGAAGGATACACATGAGTTTCTGAATGGCAGTTGCCTCTACAGACAGAAGACAGGTAAAGAGACTAGGAAGAAAATGAAGGTGATTTCAACTGTAATATTCCTTTTCTCCTATGATAAATAATATCTGGGTGGGAGCAGAGAAGGAGAGCAAAGCCCTATACTGCCAACTGGCAAAAAGCTAGAGAGACTCTGAGAATGAACATCTCTAATGTCAAGGAGTCTAGTCTCTGAGTCTCGCTAAGAGCTGCAGGCTGTGGGGCCTTTCTTTTGTTTTTTCTAATGTACAACAAAGAGGCTCTTTGGGAGCTGAAACCAATGAAGAAGCTATGAAAGAAGAAAGTCACCAGAATGATTCTTCGGGCTCCACTGCTCAGAGCCTTAGCAACTGGGAACACATGCCAGAAGCATGTGACACATGAGCCCAAAGTCTAAGAACAAAAACCACAGGGAATTTTTTTTTAGCTGTTTTTAATTTTTTTCTAAGTGAAGCTCTCAAAGTTAGTTATAATAGAGCATTATGAAACACATTAAACCCAGTTTGTTAACAGTCAAGGTTAAGCAAAAATGCACTAAGCGGTAGCTTAGTGTTTAATTCCAAAAACTTTCTTTTTAAAATATTCTACTTTACTATGTAATGGCTGCCATATGTTGTTACATTAATAGTTACTTCCTTGGTTCTAAAATAACATGACAAAATAGACATTAAGTGGCAAGTCTGTCACAAGCAGCCACGCCAATGATTAAGCACAAATCATGGGACTAGCTCTGACTACCTGCATGGTAAGACCTGTTGGTCAGGGCTGGGTTTGATGATTTTCAACAAAGATTATCCAGGTGTATTACTGGGATTCAGATTCAGACAAATATTCTTTCTCAATGTTGCACCTTAGTTAAAGAAGAAATAATCAAGTGGCCACAATGATTTTCTCGAGAACACAAGTTAGAGAAGCACACCAAAGAAAGTAAGTCTAGAGAAGTACGTCAAAGAAAATGCTGTCAGACTTGAATTAGGAGGTTAAGATGGGAATTCAAAACAAGTGATGTCACAGACTCATCTTTTTTTACCCTAATTGCTATGGAGAATAACACATATCCAGAGAGTATTTCAAGACTGCTAACTGGCCTAAGGTAAAAGTATGGCATCCTAAAGACGGGATGAAGAAAGTAAGGACAGTAGAGAGCAAAAGTCTACATACTTCTTAAGGAGGGTTCTCCATCAAAAAGAAGAATCATCAACCTTATTGATAAATGGTGGGTAGTAAATAGAGACTGAAATCTCTCAGAATTCTAAGAGGCAGACAGACTATATTTGCTGACATGTTAGTCAACTACTCCCTTAATGTACAGCACCCTTTCCCCCTCTCTATATTCCTCCGTAGGTGCTTATATTACAAACACATAGAGTAAGAATGAGAGAAACAAATTGTGGCTCAACCTTTCAGATAGTGGGAATTTTTTCAATTCTGTATTTTTTATCACATTAAATTCAAAACTAAGGATACTGCTAAAGAGGTGGGATTCAAAGCTGCATGATTTTTAAATTGGCAAGTAAGATTAAAAATCCAAAGTAAATTTTTAAAAAGAAAGCCATTTTACTACATATTTCTGCATACCAAACTTTGGAGAAGTGATAGACTGGTTATATACATTATAAATAAGAATTCAATCAAATTTAATATAACAATTGCTTTTTCCACCTGTATCAAATATGCCAGCCCCTGGTAGAGACACAGTAATCAAAGAAATGGTCTGTGATGTCTAAGAAATCACAATACAAGACAAGAAAACTCTGTGTAAACCCACAATCACTATTCCATTTGCGAAGATTCCACCACTCTCAAGCAGTTTGATTTTGAGCAAGTCATTTTTTATTGCATTTTAGGCTTTGGGGCACATGTGAAGAACATGCAAGATAGTTGCATAGGTACACACGTGGCAGTGTGATTTGCTAACTTCCTCCCCTTCACCTATATCTGGCATTTCTCCCCATGCTATCTCTCCCCAACTCCCCACCCACCGCTGTCCTTCCCCTATTCCCCCCAACAGACCCCAGTGTGTAGTGCTCCCCTCCCTGTGTCCATGTGTTCTCATTGTTCAGCACCTGCCTATGAGTGAGAACGTGCAGTGTTTCATTTTCTGTTCTTGTGTCAGTTTGCTGAGAATGAGTTCTCCAGGTTCAAGTCATTTTTAACCACTCTATACTTCACTTTTCTCAATAAAATAATAATATCTATTTTATGAAATTGTAGTAGAATTACAAGATAATCCAAGTATGGCTCTTAGCAAAAAAAAAAAAAAAAAAAAGGGCTGAACAATTAACCCATGTACATCATTATTACTATTTATCATGTGTTATGTTAGTATTACTATTATTACAGGATACTAATACAGAAGAAAGACAACTAATTCAGCCTTTGGGGTCATGAAAATCTTGCCAGAAGAGGGAGACCTGAGCTGAGCCCAAAAGCACCTGGGTAAAAGCAGTACTTTACAGGTAAAAGGCACAGAAAGCAGAAAGAATGGCACAGTTTTGGCTCTGACTCTCCAAACAAGTCAAGATGATTCCAATAATATGTGTGTGTGTGTGTGTGTGTGTGTGTGTACGTGCGCGTGCATGTGTGCATGTGCATATTGTCAATAAACAGGTTGAAGGAATGGGAGAAGATCACAAAAAACATTATATATTACAAGAAAAAAAGTGTTTTTTCTTTCACAGTATTCAATTCTATAGGCATTGAAGATGATGCCTATGGTTGATGTCAGTTATATAAATCGAGTATTTGTCAATTTCAAAGATGCAACAATACAACAAAAAAAAATTTATGGTTTGGTGGCTGGGGACTAACTTCTGTGATGTTACGAAGGAAGGGAGAAAGGGAACAAAAGGGAGGGAAGGAAGAAAGCAAGAGAAAAGAGGGGAAGATGGAAGGAAATGAAGGAAGCAAGTAAATACAGGTAGGAAAGAGAGAATATTGGTGGCCTGACAGTTTAT